ATGGCAAAATAACCCACTCCTAAAAACGCAGTTTATTTTTCTAACCAACTCACTCAAAACCCCGTTTTGTTAATAATTTATTGCCGTGTTCTTGATTTTTTTTGCTGCTATTCTTTACTGTTTAAGAGCACGCACCATAGCACACATAAGTAGCTAAAGTTCAAAGATAACTAATGGACCAGCACCAGTAATTGCATTAAAAAGGTTCATGTCCGCTGCTCAAGTAACGAAAATGGCTTGCAAAAGATAAGTGAATGTGTCGGTATCAACATAACAACAAACAGTGTCAATGTACGTTGTGTACAAGTTTTTCTAGTTTCTGCGTTAGAAACTGAATAATAAGGAAACTCGAATGTGTGTAATGTTTTCGAGCTTAACAACCGTGTAAATAAAACCTAAAACAAATTACAATAAAATTTTCAATTACACAATTTTAGAGGATAAAATGTTTTACGCAACCTTTTTTGTTAATATAAAATTTAAATACAGTTCTCTTAAAAATGTTAAGAAATAATTTAAGTACGTAATTTTAATATTGTATTCTCGAAACTCAAAACAATAAATAATTAATTAAACAATAAAAAAATACATAGTTTCATGATTGTCTAATTTACCCTTGAAACCCTTGTAAACAAGGTGTAATATTTTAGAAGAAAAGTATGCAAAATAATTTATTTTACTCTAATTTTACGAATACTTACTATGAACTATATGCTTGAATTGGTCATCATTAATTAACGCACCCACAATTGTGTGATAAAATACACAGGTATATTAAAAAAAAATGAATAAATAAACACGGTCATAAAAATTTAATATTTAAAATAGCAACATTAGTATTTCAAAAGATATCTATATGATGTATATAATAACAAATGAAATGCTTTCATTAATTTAAATACTTAAACATGTATCACATAAATCACTCACGTGACAAACAAATATTTTAACATTGTCCTACTCGAAAAAAAACACCTTCATGGTGACAATAAACAAAATGAAAAGTTTTCCAGGTATTTAAAATAGATGTAGCAAAACATTTTTAAGTAATTAAAAATTGATTGTGCTATTAAATGTAATAATTATACTTTAAGCTCATTATGCAGATGTTTTTCAGCTCAAAAAATGTATTTCAAAGTAAAAATTTTACTATCATTAAAAAATGCATGAAAATATATTTTATGCATATTAAAATAATAATTAAACATTACTTCAAAATTTATATAATTTTAAGATAACATTTTAGTAAAATATATTTTAATTATTATTATTATGTTATATCGGAATTTTAAGTGCAGTATACAAAAAGAAATAACCCTTTAAATTGTATAAATCATTTTAATCTTTCGTGAAGGGATTTTTTAACCACAGTTATTTCTTCCATTTTATACTACTGCATTAAATATATTATAACGACAGCTTTTTTTTTTAATATATACAGACACACATACGAGTTTTCTTTCGGAGAAACGATATAAAAAAATGCGAACACTTTTTAACTATGAAACTAGTACTACTGTAGCAATTTATGACTTATACAGCGCAATTCTTTTAACGCTGACCACTCAATTTCTTTAAAAAAAAAATTTTTTTTTTTTAAATTTTGTTAGTTACATATGTATCTGTTATAAAACATTTTTCATGTTTAACCCTTATGTCTTATAAGGGTTTCTAGTGTATTATTTTAAAGGCAATTATATGTTCAACTAGTTTATAAATTAGAAAATTACTGGTCAATAACAACTTTTGGATAGTATTTCAGAAGTTTAAATCAATTAAAGTAATTACTGGAATTAACAAAATGGGTGCAGCTATTTTTATTAATATACATTTCTTGGCCTCATTCCTCTTGCATAAATGTAAAAATGTTTAGAACTTCTGAAATACTTGTCCAATAAATGTTATCGATTTTTTAGAAGACATTTTTTTAATTAAGTCATTGTCTATTTTGTTATCTAGTTGATTATGTATGTTGCTATTAAAGAAAATAAAGTTTACACAAAACATAAAGGATGAACATAAAAAATATTTTATAACAGATAAATGAAGTCATACATGTGACCAACAAAAGTAAAAAAAAAAATGAAAAAAATGATTATTGTAAAAGAAATTGAATGAATTGCATTAAAAGAATCACCCTGTAAGTGTAGACTATATTGATTGATTATAAAATGACGGTAAAAATAAACAAAACAATCTTGAAAATAAATATTTCGTATAGATTCTTTGTTTGTATTATTCATAAAGTAAATCAATACCAACATTTTTAAAGGAATTCTCAAAAGTTGTTCTGAAAGATTTCCATAAAATAAAAATGTAATTGACATGTTGTCAAAATCAATTGCCAGAAAAAAATATCCGTATCGTTATCCACGTAATTTATCGTTCAGAAAATTTAAACTTTACCAATTTCCATTCAAAAGTATAGTTTTATAATATTATTTTTGAAAATAAGACGACACTCTATAAAAATAATACTATGCATTTGAATTGAAAACTTCAATCATTTTCACTTTTAGTTTTACTTTTCTGTTGATAATAAAACTAAATAGACTTTTCGCTATAATTACGAGTAACTTAATCGTAAAAAACTATTATGTAAATCTTTTGTTTCAAAAAAATGTCGTCTAGTTAATTGTGAGTTTTAAAAATTACTTGCATACTATTTCATATTTTATATAGAATATATTTTAAATTGTCTTTTTAAATTTCAAATCGTAGTAAAATAAAACTATTTCGTACAAAAATATATTCACAAGAGTTGTACACCATAAATATGATAAATTTCAGAATCCTAATATTTTCCCAGTTTTTATACATTATTTTAATTGCTTTAAGTAAAACTCAAATACACGAAAACAGTAAAATTATAGTTTTAAACCAAAACATAGTGTTTTATTTAGTACGTGATCATTTCACAACTTTCGCAAAAAAAAACAACAGCCTATGTATATGATAAATTTTATTTAATGTATTAAAATCAAGTATACAAAATTGAGCTTTCATAAATAAAAACATAAAACAACAATTTCAATTATAAACGAAATCTAAATTAATATTAGTTAGCATTAAATGGATAGGTGAATAGACTGAATTGAAACTGTGTTGTTCTTTATTAAACTAGCAAGTGTTAGGAACTATAAGTAGACTAGTTAAATCGACTTAAAACTACATTTTATTACTTTATTTTTAGAACTCATTAAAAAAAGAAACAAGCTGAGCTAAAATTTAGTGAATATGATAAAGAATTATTTAGAAACTATTATATTATTTACAGATTATCACAATTCATACTTCCGGAGCTAACCGCCCTTTAACGTTTAATAATTTTTAATTAATTTCATAAGCGTAGCGTCAATTGTTATTTTTTACCAAGCGCAGCGTTGCCTGATACGTTTATGCTAACCCTTAACTGCTTTTGGCAATATAAGAGTCGATGGTAACCATAAGCGTATCAATCGCATATGTAGATTACTTGACAAATCATGACATGTCTGTCAAATCAATTAGAAGGATCGAAAGGAAGTGGCGTGAATTAAATGATAATGACGAGGATTTTTTATTACCAGCGCCGAGGAACCGGTTTAGCAGCAAAGACTGCCTGGTGGACAAACCTATCACTGATGAATTTTTATTGTTTTTACTGTTACTGAATGTGCGTACAACAACCGTTGTTTTTTTACCGTATGCGTGGGTAAACCATAAAGGTCACGGTGGTGGTAGTAGGGTTGCTATGGACTTTGCACGTCACCAACGTCTCATTAGTAATACAGCACGGCGATTACACACTCAGCACACTATGGAATTTTCTTTTCTTTTTTTCACTAATTACCATTTCTGTATTTAGCCACCTAAAATATTAAATATATGCACTTGTTTTAAGTTTTAAGTAATAGTAACAAAATAAATTGTGAAAATCATTTACAATTATTAATTATAATGTGACATTACCTTTAGCTATTACTGTTCAAAAAATAAGAAAATAGGTCAATTATTTTAAACAGTGAGATCAATAGAAACCCGTTTCCTTTTTTACTAAACACCCTATATAATTCTCAAGTACTGTACAAAAAATACATACATATTCATGCGAACTCAGCACACACATTTAACTTGGGTCAAATATTTCAATGTGTAACTTTTGGCAAAAAGACCCGAAGTGTTTGTTTTATGAAAGGATCTCTAATCAAATTTTATATAAAGTTTTTTGTATAATTTCCAATTTATTCATTGGTCAAAAAATCTTTTTTCTTTACTTCAACAAAATGTTTTACTAAACACCATTATTCAATACTAATCACAATAAGAGTTAGTCACAGCTGCACAAATAACACATATGTATTCATGTCACGATATTCCGATATTTACCCTAAAAGGATTTAAAAAACGTTGATTTAACTTCATGATTATTAAACACATTTAATAAGTAGATAAAATGAGTTGACAGCTTAAATATGTAACGCACACAGCATACCTTATTTTATATTTGTTTTTTTGTAATTTTTTAAAAAATGTCAACACATATTTGCATATGCTTTCCGTTTAATGAAACTGATTTAAGTGACAGTGACAGTTAGACATCAAGTCAACACAATTTTTGACGACTGTCAAAAAAGTTCTATGCTTTTCTTAAACTACTGTTTCTAAATATCTTTTAAAATATCATAAATATCTTTTAGATTTACTAGATTTTATATATACTCGTTTAACATGATGAGTTTCTATTATAGTTAAAATAATCTAATGAATATTTCACTATCTCATATATGTAATTTCCCATTCCTTAATTATATATATAAATTTCCTAAAATATAAGAGGAGCAAGCTAATCCTTTTAATTTACACCTATGTCCACAACCCTTTAAATATTTTAAATACCTCATTTTACTATTTTGTCTATATTCATTTTAAATCCTCCTCATGAATTTTTTTTAATTGAAAATATCGGTAATTATTTTTAATTAAAAATAACAAGTTCTAATATTTACTATTGTTTTCAGATATTTTTCTTCCTCACTTCCTATGCCATTCCTCTGGCTCTGATATGTATACTATACGTACTGATGTTAATGAGACTTTGGAAGGGAGTAAATCCAGGTGGTCAACCGCCTTCTGCAGAAAGTCGACGAGGCAAGAAGCGAGTAACTAGAATGGTTGTGGTCGTAGTCGCCATATTTGCATTCTGCTGGTTTCCTATTCAAGTAAGTAAAATGCCAATTTTTCATAATAAATAAACTTGAAATCAGTTTACTTTGTTTAATTTTTATGTACATTTACTACACCATATGACAACAACTCATGTCATTATAGGAACACAACTTACTTGTGACTTACAATTGATATTAACTTTTAATCACAAATATTTTGTCTACACACTTTTAAGACTTTAAACGACAACGCAGAATGACATGTGAAGTAAAGTAGAATATTTGTATATTTTACAAGAATACGCAAATATATCATGAATAATGAAAAATACATTTGGAATTTATATTACTGTTATTCTGAATAAAATAAATCATCTACAATAAATCGATTACAATAAAAACATTGACAGTTTAAACATGGAATATGTTTATTTATAAGTATTGGATTATATCAGCCAACAGCTAATTAATTAATTATTTAATAAATTTCTTTGTGAATATGAAATTTTATGTTCTAAAAATTTCTCGAAATCTTTAATTTTTAAACATTAAAAAAAAGCAACTTAACTTTTTTATAAAAAAAAAAATATATATATATATATTTGTAAAATACATATATATTTTTTTTTAATTTATTGAATATGTTTTTAAGATTAAAAAATGACACCAAAACTAGAGGATGGAGGAGTTGCTTCATAGTCAAAAAGGGGATTATCTTTTTGTCACTCCCAATTTCATCTAACAAAAAAAATTATTATTGTTTTGGATCCTTTTCTCTGTGGATAGGGGATAAGAATATTTTCATGGCCCCTCTGCCAGTCGTAAGAGGCTAATGAGACTAATGAGGTTGCGTCAGGTCAACAGCCGGCGTAAAATTTTTGTCAAATAGTATGAGGTGTCCTGAACGAAACTTAGGCGAATTGTGCCATCTCGGATGTACGCGAAGACAACAGGTGAGAGGGAATAAAGTGTTTGATACCAGCCGGACAACTTGTGTGATAGCTATTTGGGTATAAGAATAAGTAGAAGTAAGACAGAGTATATAGAGAACGAGTTTGACAAAGGAGAACACGAGGTAGGTGAAAATGAGGAGATCAGTGACAATAAGCGAGGACGTGATTGGAGAGGTGGAAAGTTTTAAGTATTTAGGGTCAGTTATGCAAAAGAGCAGTGGTATTGACGAGGATGTAAGACACAGATTCACAATGTTACTCAAAATATAATAAAGTGGTAAGTGAGTTGAGTAAAAGAAGAATGTTACTTTAGTTCGGGATGAGATTTGAGGGTTATAAAAATATATAAGAGTGAACTTTTATCGATTTCAAATCTTACCTTATAATTCTTCTTTGTTCTTGAAATAAGTTCAGTAACAGTAATAATAATTAACAAACAAAATAAGACGAGTTTGATTTTTTTATCAAATTAACACGTAATAATTTTGACAATGATGATCTTAAACATAACGTGATGAAGTTGAGATTGCGATTGGAACAGACCGAATGTGAGGGATTCCTCTGCATTATATACAATTTTATATCCCCAAAAATCACCATTGCATTGTTATTTTTTATTGAAGAGTAATCATAAAATATATAAATTAATACATGCGAATAATATAAAAATCATTTTGATATTTTGTATAACGTTAATATAGTTTGTTTTTACATTTAAGATTAGGGTTGGCACATTGTGTCATTGTTTTATTATTAAGATAGGAGTAAAATTAGCTGAAAGTATAGTTTATAAATTTCTTAAAGAGTGATTTTTAAAGGTGACTAATAATTGACTCATAGCTGAATCGCGTATAATATAATTTAATTTTACAACAGTATGCGTTTGTTATTTCTCTAAGTTATTTATTTAAATTATTTGTTTAAAAACAATCATATTATTCTAAGCATATGAATGTAATTTATAAATAGAAATGATTATCCTAAATGAAAATATTAAATGAAAATCCATTATTGTAGACACGAGTAGCCCACTGTTATTTCATATAGTGATAGTGACGAGTATATTGCGACATAAAGCAATTATTGACTTATGATGCCTAGTAACTCACTTTGTTCACTAACAATGATTTACGCCCAAAATGTTTCTTGTAAAGCAGTTGTAGTTTATCATTATAGCAAACTAATGAGACAGTTTATTCAATGTTTAAAACATGAAAACAGTTGTGAAATTATTCTGTATAAATAAATATGGTTTATTAAACGACAATAATAGATCTTGCGATAACATGTGTTATTATAGGGAAATAAGTTTCATTCTACGTTTTCATACAAAAAAAATAATAAGACACTACAATAACGACAACTCTATTTTAGTTGAAAAATTCTCTTTTTTCTATAAATAAATACAATAAAAAATTAGAAGAAAAATTCTACTAAAAATAGTAGTAAATTACAAACACAGAGTAATGTTTTGTAATGTATTTAATATTATGTTAAATGTGTAATATCTTTATTCTTGTATATTTCATAGAAAATAATTTATTTTACTTTACTTAAAGACAACCATTATTTTTTTACACATAAAAGAAATGACTTATCAAATATATTGATTAATCAATATAACCACTTTGGCAATACTTATCAAATCATTATTATCTTATGGTTTAAGCGAATATTGAATAATTATAGCAATCGCATGTTGTAGCAACACTATAATATGTATAGAAATGAAAGCAGAAAGATAATAAAAGGGAAAATTTAGATATCTAGTAATAAATTACAATCATTGTTCTGCGCTTATGAAAACAAAATTTTAAAGTTTTGTTCATAATGTATTATGGTCATTTAAAAAAAAATTTGGCAAATTATGTATCAAGATTCATACGCAGCTTATAATTATTATTTACTTTATATTATAGAATAATCATTAAACCATCAAAAAAAATATTATGACTTAATTTAATCTAAATTATTTACTAGAATTTTATACGAAAAATGTTATACAACAGATTTATAGGTATTATTTGTTATACTGCTAAAAATATTTTGTATCATTTATCCTTGAAACATTCCAGCATTGGTCATTTTATATGTACTAAATCCATCGAGAAAAAGGAAAAGTAGTAAAATAAGATGAATTTCGGTTACCCAGTTTCTTTTTTAATGTAATCACCATACATATATCTACTGTCAAAATAATAAAGTTCAATGTGTTAGTATAAATCATTCCTCCATACTTACATAACATTTGTCTATTATTGTAACATCTAAAATATGTTATATTAACCCTATATATGTTTTTAAAGCTTATAAATTTTAGTTGTAATTACTTTTTATAAATTGAAATCAATATAAGCAAAGTTATTTATGTTAAGCTACATAAAAAATTTTCAGAAATAAAAATAAAACTATTTCTAATAACTATGTCATATACAAGATAGTAGACCAGTTTTAAACGTCATATATAATTTTTCAATTTAGTTATACTGGAACTTCTTTTTGTGTGACATAAACCAAAATCAAATAATTGCTTGTTATTTCATATTAATATAAGGTAAATTGTAGTTAAAATAAATTTTATGATTACTCATTATATATTATTTGTGATACAATGTTTATCCAAATTCTAATATGAACAAACGCTTTTAATTTTTTCACCATATTTTTAAAGGTATGTTAAACTTACTTTGTATACATTTTTATATAAAATATATTATAAATCAAAAGCACAATCTGCCCTCCTAATTTTTTCACAGCTCTCTCCAAAAATTATGAAAATTATATGTTAATTTATATAAAAAAAAACCCAGCAAAAAAGGGTGGCATTACAGTGGTAACATAGCATAGTTAGGTCAAGTATAATGATATCTGATAGTGAATAAAATCACTTTCATAAAAAAACGCTTCGATACAAATCTTTAGATTGTGTTTAATTTTAAAAAATTGGTGGATTATTCCAAACTCTACACGATCTCCTATTTCCTTATTTATATTCTGATTACAAATCTTATTTTTCTATTAACTTTGATGTTAGTTTTCACCATGAAAACAAACTAAAGTCTGAATTTTTTTATTTCCATAATAAAGTATATTACATAAGTTTTGATTTAAGATATATATAAAAGTGTCAGACTTTCCGGAACACTTTCAAAAATTAAGTTGAAAAAGTTGTCATTTTAAATCCCCCCTATGGGCAGGTAAAGGGTCAGATTTATAAAATAAATATACCATATGATAGGTGAAGGCATCATGCAACTATGAAAAAAATTATATTGATTTGGTTGGGTTGGGTCGAAAAATGTCAAAAATTAGCGAATTTTAAAAATTTATAATTTTTTTGGAGATTTCCCCCGTTTACGGGGAACGAGGAAAATTTTTTCAATTTTCGAGGGTCGTGTCTTAGACTAGATACGAATTGTGTTCTTTTGATGTATCGTTGAAAGAAATCAGTTCGGTGAGAGCTAAGAAAAACTGGTAACAGGCACAAAAAAAAAAACACATAGTAAAACCAATAACTTCTCAGCTTCGTATCGAAGCTAATATTTTTAAGTAGATTTTCAAACTCTTTTTCGAATTAGGTTTATATTATTACACAATTATTAATATTTATCTTATGAATTGATTAATTAATTTTACTTAAACCTAAATTATTGTTTAATTAATAATTATCACCAATGTTTATAATTAACTTGAAAAATTATAACTAATATAATTAATAAACATTTGTAATGTTTATATCTCTGAACATTATTAATAATTAATAATATAATTAGGGACATACTAAACACCTACTGCGTATGTGACCAATTATTATCCAGATAATTGATTTAAATTGTACTAATTTTGTAACATTACACATTTAAATAAAAATTAATACTTGATTAAATATTTACGTTAAACAAATAATTTAAAATCTAATGAAAATTAAATATTTTAAAAGTTATTTTTGTATACATTTAAAACTGAAATTAGCCTTTTTTTGTTATAAAACTACTTCTTAGTGCTATAAAAAATATGTTATTTTCGAACAAATTAATTCTAAGCGAAATAAATGACTTTTTATGAATATAATGACATAAAAAGACAACTAAAGTATTAACC